TGGTTTAGTGTGGACCTCAGTCAGGCTGGACCCCATATTTAATGTGAAGCGACTGAAAACAGTCTGTTCAGGGTCGTTCTGTTGCGTCGGTCGTTTAGTTGATGAAACACAAATATGCCCAAAAAACGTTATTCTTGTCTGACAATTACAATAAATCCGTATATCATAAATTTACGTTTTTTATTCAGTATTTTAACGAACGTAAAAATGGATTAATGAACGATGCAGATAGGAATTTGTTCAGCTTGATTCATACTGTAGATTATTCGCAAAGAAAAAAAACCCCACTTTTGCATAATTGAACTCTTAATTCGGTGTCATGTTACTTTAAGAATTGATTTATGGATGATGTAGGAATTTGCTCAATTTTTCGTAAAAGCAATCTTTCGTAAATTGACTTTTTTTTTTGTTCGGTAAGACAGTTTAAGCAAAAATAGATTTATTAATGATGTACATTGCTTGTTTCATAAATAAAGCAAATTGTTCTTAATCATTCGTAGATCAGTTATTTTGTAATTTGTCGCATTGAATTGAATAGTTACAAAAAACTAATTATAATTGCAAACCGTGTTCGTAAAACCATTCTTTGGTAAATTTTCATTTAACTTCAACACAAGCAGAACAAATTTGTGTACAGAATTTGTAAACCAATTCTGTTCAATTGTACTGCCGAACTTAAACGCAAAGAAAACAAATTTGGTTTTACAAACTATTTACCCAAATTCGTTCTGCCAGCGTGCGAGTTCGTTTAATCGCGACTGGATTTACAAACTCAAGAGAAATCATTGCATTCAGATTAAGCGCATACAGAATGAATTTGCGAATGTTCATAAAACCAATTTGCGTAAATCTACATGACAAATTACAGTAGTTCTGCTCGTTGTTTGCGAAATCAGGTCCATTGAACAACCTCACGGCTTCCTTCAGTCGTACCAACCTAAATATGGCGTCTAATTCTAACTCTGGTCCATTTTAAAGCATTAGCCGTTTTGATTTAATCATAGATGGCTACGTGATAGATCAGCTTCTGTGTTTTGGCCCAGAAAATGCATGTGAAATGCGAAAAGTACTCTTGGTTTTTGGAAAACGGCACTAGAATGATATGGCAGATAATAGTTTGGGCTTCCGCCACATCTGGTGGCTGTTGTTTGCGGTGTAGAAAGAAACCTAGCACGTTGGTCTCTAAAGGTTGAAAATGAGTGTTTTGTAGCCATCTGGGCAGTAGGTCATTCCTGCCAGGACGATTTCTGTTAAAGCGGTGCAAGAGACGCGAGTCTGAAGTCAAACGGCGGTGGCTCTGATGTCAGTGTCTGGAGTTTGTCTGAACAGTGCCTTGAGGTTTGAAGCGTCTCCATTTTATTCAGCTGTCGCTCTGTTGGATTCCCATAGCAACTGGGCCAATACTCTCAAATGTCATTCTCTCGAGCACTGAAAGGCACAGGCTTTGACTGTTTGAACAGTTGCGCCGCTGTAGGTCTCAGACCGTCGTGATTCAGTTCTTCAGGGACGTGTTTGTTTGGACTACGGCTGTGATGATCAACATACGCCGCAGGAAAGACTGACCAATTCCTTCATCGAGAAAACAAATTCATTAGCGAACAACCTTTTGTATCGACTTCCCTCCTGTACTGTCTGTTCTTTTCCCTTGTTGAGATTTGTATTTATATGTCTGACAAAAAAGCTACATTCTGAAACCATTTTGGAGGTCATTTGTGTTTTTATTAAGGTCGTAATAAATGATTTAATGACTAGTGTGATTTGTGTTATTTGTCTTGAAAGTGTAACAAATAAGTGTGGATTTCTTGCATTGCAACAGCAACCCATTTCCGATAATAACGATGGTTTCGTAACCATCTCGGTATGTTGTTAAAGGGATAGTTCACCCAAATATGAAAATTCTGTCATTAATTACTCACCCTCATGCCGTTCCAAACCCGTAAGACCTTCGTTCATCTTCGGAACACAATTTAAGATATTTTTGATGGAATCTGAGAGCTCTCTGACCCTCCCATAGACAGCAAGGTAACTACCGCGGTCAACGTCCAGAAACATAGCAAGGAGATCGGTAAAATAATCCATGTGAAATCAGGGGTTCAACCGTAATTTTACAAAGCTTCGAGAATATTTTTTGAGTGCAAAATAAAAATTTTTTTAAAAACGACTTTATTCAACAATTCGTAAAAATTACAATTGAGCCCCTGATGTCACATGGATTATTTTACCGATGTCCTTGCTACGTTTCTGGACCTTGAACGTGGTAGTTACCTTGCTGTCTATGGGAGGGTCAGAGAGCTCTCAGATTCCATCAAAAATATCTTAATTTGTGTTCCGAAGATGAACGCAGGTCTTACGGGTTTCGAACGACATGAGGGTGAGTAATTAATGACAACATTTTCATTTTTGGGTGAACTATCCCTTTAACACACTCAAGCTGCTCGCTCAACAATCGCGCGCTGTTACATGACTGAAACTAGAACATCATTATAAAACTTCACATGCTAGCAAGTATTGATGTAAGCATCATGTCAGCCAAACACGACACCGTTACAAACCCTTATGACTTTCTTCTGTGGAACACAAAAGGAGATGTTTAGGCGAATGTTCACGCTGCTCTTTTCCATACACTGAAAGTGAATGCGTCTGGGGTTCTGAAAAGGGAAATTCAATTTGTAAAAGTAATCTTGCGTAAAAATGTTTTAAATCAGTGTGACAGTTTATATAAGAATGGATTCGTGAACAATATACACATGAACAATTTGCCTTGTTTATGAAACGAGCAGAACAAATTCCTAACAATTGATCGATTATTTTGTAATTTGTCGCATTGAATTTAATTTGTGTAACTTTGCGCACATTTGAGTTGTTTACACATTCTTTGTTAATTTGTCATATATGAGTAACTTCAACACAAGCAGAACAAATTTTTGTACATGGTTTGTAAATCCATTCTCTGTAAAATTGTAACATTGAACTTAAACACAAAAAGAACGAATTTGGTTTAGTGAACAATTTAATGTTCAACGTTCAATGGTACAATTCGACCAAGAATGGATATGCAAAGTATGCACACATTCTTGGTTACATTTTCAGATTTTAAACACGAGCAGAATGAATTTGTAAATTTTCATAAAACCATTCTTGGATAATTTTTTTCATGACATGACAAATTAGGATAAGAATGGTTTTACGAACATTACATTACATTACAAAGAAATGTTAGCACACAAAGTAGATGCAGATTGGGTCTCTGAAAAGTGGAAAAATTCACAAAAGCAAATGAGATTGGAGAGCTGCTGTGGATAACTTTCAATGAAAAAAAAAAACATGGGTTTTGCTTGCTTCAACTGCGGTCTTATGACTTTTATGATGGCTTTATTTCATATTATTTATAGTGGTTGACAGTGCCCAGTGTCCGCTCCACATTCACTTTGTATGAAACAGCATTTTGGACATTCTGCAGTTACTATCTTTGTTCAATTAAATATATTCTTTATCATGGCAAAAGGGGTTTTGGATTGGAATTACATGGGAGGAAATTATTAAAAGTAATTTCTGCATGAACCTTTCAATTTTATCATTTACATACATTATAGTCTTTTACAAAATTGTACCTTAGTGCAGTAACATGGTGTATATAATATTACCATTATTTGATTTGTACTATAAATTACTATTTTATATCAAAAGAATACCATTTCTCATTCATTACAATATTTTTAAAAATACCTTGTCGATACATTGTCAACCATATGTGAAATTTTTTTTTTCTTTTGTTTTTCCGATGAAACCCTGTGTCATGTGTCACAGTAATTTGGAAATTAGGTCTATGACACGCTACAGGAAGTGTGTTGTCTGCACTTGTACACGGTGTACTTTCGTATCTTTGACCTCCGATTGTTCTAAAAACAAAGTCCAAATTGGAAATGCTGTGAAAATGAAGCTAAATGCACAAGGTCATGAGATGAGTCATTAGTCGCTCCAAACAAAACTTAAAACATCTGCATTTAAATCACTTTAACGCAAGACCTCATTTATGCTTACGATGAGTGTTTACTAAATTGACATTTTATACATGTGTAAGATTCAGTGCGTTAACTCACTGTGATGATGATCACAGCGTTATCACCAGTGCTGTTAAAGAAACATACTTTCAACACTGCTGCAGCGGTGGGACGGATTATCACCATAAATACTTTAACTGAATTGTAAAACTTAAACTGAATTGTAATACTTAAACTGAATTGTAAATACTTAAACTAAATTGTAAAACTTAAACTGAATTGTAAAACTGAATTGTAAAACTTAAACTGAATTGTAAAACTTAAACTGAATTGTAAAACTGAATTGTAAAATTTAAACTGAATTGTAAAACTTAAACTGAATTGTAATACTTAAACTGAATTGTAAATACTTAAACTAAATTGTAAAACTTAAACTGAATTGTAAAACTGAATTGTAAAACTTAAACTGAATTGTAAATACTTAGACTTAATTGTAAATACTTAAACTGAATTGTAAATCTTCAACTGAATTGTAAAACTTAAACTGAATTGTAAATACTTAGACTGATTGTAAAACTGAATTGTAAAACTTAAACTGAATTGTAAATACTTAAACTGAATTGTAAATAATTAGACTGAATTGTAAAACTTAAACTGAATTGTTGAACTGAATTGTTAAACTGAATTGTAAATACTTAGACTGAATTGTAAAACTTAAACTGAATTGTAAAACTAAATTGTAAATACTTAAACTGAATTGTAAAACTTAAACTGAATTGTAAAACTTAAACTAAATTGTAAATACTTAAACTGAATTGTAAAATGTTCATTAAGAAGTGCTGGGTCAAATTCAGATCAACACTGCGAGAGTTAAGAACATGATAGCGAATTATTAATCACATTGGATGACAAACAATATTTTACATATTTAATATGATGCTTATGCAAAACACATTTATTAAATCTTATATAGATATTCTTGATGTTACAGAGGAACTTGTCACGCACTGCTGTAAACATGTCATTCAGACAATGGAGCGGCTTCCATTGGAGGATCTCTAAAGTTATGTCACCGGCTGATCCTCTGATTGGTTGAGCTCTTTGTGGAGCTCCAGTGCTTCTCTCGGCTCTGTGGTGGTGTCGTGGAATGAGGTCTGGAGCGGGACGTCCTGGGACAGACAGTCCATGGAGGACAGGGGCCAATCTTTCATTGAGGTGCTGGACGCTGTGGGAGTGGAGGGCAGAGGTCAAAGGTTAAAGACCATTCAAGTGTGAGTTACGGTCACAACTGCATCAGGTACAACTGGAGCTCGTGAACTGACAAACCTGTGAGGTTTCCATCAGACACTTACAGAATGACTTAAAAACATCTACTTAAAAGGGCCTTTTGAAAATAAGTGTATTTTATCTTGATGCAACTTGAAATCTTTTTTCAATAAAAAAAAAAAAAAGAAGTTAAATCTGTTCTTGCAGATTATATAATATAACTGAAAAAAAGCCATGTAAGTGTACTTAAAGAGAGAAACATTCATGACTGCTTTTCAACACACTTAAGTCACAATGAAGTTGACTTCTCAGTGTTAAGGGTTTGTTCAAAGCGCTAACCCTAAAAAACAAGACACCGTTTAGCAACCTTAGCGAACACCACTGATCATTTCACACATGCTAACTCGAGAGCCACCCAGAAAAACAGCCTTGTCTTTATTTACTGACCACTGACTTCTCTATTAGCTCAGGCATGGATAACATATACACACAGGTCATAACCTGGTGAGCCTCAACTTGGACATAGCCAGGGTATTTAAAGTTCAAAGGTCAAGAACAGCACCTCAGTGTAAGCAGCTCTTGAACACCGTTAGCCTTGTAACTAAAATAGCTTGCGTAGTAATCAGCCAGTGTTTATTTACAGCCACCTTTAACAGCTTTATTCTCAACTACCGTGAGTGTGTTTAAGGTCAGCTCCTCGTAACCCACCTGAGCGACTACTCTGAGTCTTGGCACTCTGTGGCCGTGCTGGACTGCCACGGCCAGCATCCATTCCACTGGACCTCTGGGACTGCGAGCGGCTGACCTTGTCTTTGCTCTTCCAGTTGCCTGTAACAGCATCGACAATTCACATGGCAGACCTTGACAGCAATTAATTCACTACATGGCACAAGCTGATTGGCTGATTCTGCAGTCAAGTGAGCTGCTTGCTTAACATCTAAATAATCTGGTTCAGAGTTCGCTGTAAGCTGACCCTGCAGCACGCTATAGAGTTCCTCTGAAACTCTCCACCTCCCCCAGCTCCACCTGTCTAAATCTGCCACAGGATTTATATATGCAGGGCTGAACATAAGTTTTTCAGTCTGGTTCTCATGAGAGCACCTGGAGATTTGATATGGTACTCACGTTGCACGTAGTGTGACACATTAAATATAACTATAAAAATAAAATAATGAATAATAGTAATAATAGCATTATTGCACATTATTTAGTTAGATGATAAATAAAATAACAGTGTGATAAAACTATCATATTTTAAAATAAAAAGTAAATATTAAATAAAAATACAATTATTTTATAGTACATTAAAAAATATAACGCTAATATTTACAATAAAAAAATAATTTTTACTTTTTTATATGAATTTTCAAGATTTTCAAACCTAAAATCAGCAAGCCTTTATATTGGAGGGTTGCCGGCAAGTAAGTATATGCACTGTCGGTGTTAGCGATGCCGAGTGAAGTGAGTCAGTGAATGTCGTAGTTTTGTGTTTTGCTCTGAAATCGGCAGCGCATAGCCTAGATTTATGCTTTCAGTACGAATGGAAATCTTATACAGTATTACAGTTAGTCGATCTAAAACAGTGATTGTGCATTAACAGCTGTTAACAATTTCTGTACACAAATGAGCGTTCTGAACTTATTTTGGTCATGCATGTGCACTTGCACACCACTTACAGTGGGGAAAAAAAGTATTTAGTCAGCCACCAATTGTGCAAGTTCTCCCACTTAAAAAGATGAGAGAGGCCTGTAATTTTCATCATAGGTATACCTCAACTATGAGAGACAAAATGAGAAAAAAAAAATCCAGAAAATCACATTGTAGGATTTTTAAAGAATTTACTTAATTTACCGAGGAATTTACCAATTAATTCTTTAAAAATCCTACAATGTGATTTTCTGGATTTTTTTTCTCATTTTGTCTCTCATAGTTGAGGTATACCTATGATGAAAATTACAGGCCTCTCTCATTTTTTTAAGTGGGAGAACTTGCACAATTGGTGGCTGACTAAATACTTTTTTGCCCCACTTATGTGAACCCCTGCATATAAGCCTATCCGTGCAGCAGCAAACATAAACTTTTGTCTGACAAACTTTTTTACTATTTCTTAGAAAAAAAACCCTGTATAATTCAGTCATGAAACTCTAGATGGTGCAGACTGCTAGCAGATTGCATGTTAAGGACCTTCAATCACATCATTCACAACATGGCACGAGCTGATTGGCCTCTGCTGATTCTGCAGCCAATGAGAGTGCTTGCTCAACATTTAAACAGTCTGGTTCAGAGTTTGCTGTAAGTTCCTCCAAAAACCTCCACCTTCCCCAGCACCACCTGCTAGATCTGCTACGGGATTTATGTATGACTGACTATTCATGCAGCGGTGTATCTTACATGCTTACAACAGCATGTCTGTGTATCTGATGGTAAGTCCATCAAGGCCAAATCAAGTCATGTGGTCTGACCAACATGCAAAAATAACCTAAAAAAACAAACAATATCATAAAGAGCCCTCACTGTGTGTGTCAAGGTCAATAATGTCTTAAAATATCAGATCATTTGATCATTTTATCACATGACAAGATTATAAAATGTCATGTGGTCTAATTTTCCAAAAATATTATTCATGAATGAATTATTCATGATATTTGTAGAAATAATAATAATAGAAAAATCAAATACATGTTTAAAGAAAACGTTTTTTGAAAAGAATCATTAAATCACTGATATTATATTTCAAGGTGCAAAGAAAATATATTCTAGATGTTATTACATTTTATGTGACGTTACACCTAATTATTATAGACATTAAACTTCTGAAAAAGTATCAAGGTTTTTTCGAAACCATCATAAATACAAAGAGCATGTTTCTAAGAACTTGGCACATGTTTTAAACTAGATTTGCAAGACTTTGACCCATATTTGTGTTCCTGAAGAGAATTCAAAAGCTTTTTCAGCAAAAAAAAAAAGCAACAGAATCAGAGAAAAGACAAAGGTAAGAGACTGTGAGAATGTTTTTATATGAGGTAATGGATTGCTCATCACATGAAGCATTGACAAAAATACAATTGAATCCGAAATAATGCTATAATTGGCCACATGGTAGGTCTGTCTTAAAAGGTTTCTACATCATTGTTCCTCTGTGGAGATATTTTCTTCAAGAATGTGACTGTTGTGCTTTGTTTGGAAACAACTTCTGACCTTAAACACTGGACTCATTTTCTCATAAATCATCTCAATAACTCATCTGCCAAGCAACTGTCTTACGTTTGACTTTCAACTGCCTTGCTTTGAGTCAGTGACACAACGAAGGGCAAGGTCTGAGACCAATTTTCCTCCAGGTCTGTTGTCACTTCCAGATGGTTTCTCATTGCAGCTATTATGTAACACAGAAATGTTTGGTTCTTTCCAGCAAGCAACATTAAACTAGGCCCCCTTCCAAGCCCTACTGCTCTTCCTTAACCCCATCAGCCTTATTTTCTTCAGTCCTGAATAAAACTACACCACAACTAACTACTCTACATAACTCTAAATCAAAGTTTAGGTACTCTTCTCTGTCTGTTACAGACCTTAGTCCTCCATTGCGAGACGAGCAAAAAGTGGGTAAAGCGTGTGAATGGATATCATGTAAAGATGCGTTGCGTAACGAGTCGTGAGGGGACGCATGATCAGGGGCCCCTGTATAGACTCGAGTCTGGACATTGTCCTGAACACAACAGAACTTTCTACCATCGATGAACAGCTTCCAGCTCAAGAATCTGTTCTCATGTCAATACCGTTCTAGTTCTAGAGCAAGCAACCACAAGCTTTCTTAGGGGAACACAGTACTTTTGCAAGAAATTGCAAAAGATTTGCAAATGAACATACAGTTTTAAGGGGAACGCAATACTGTTGCAAAAGAGCAAAGTTTTGAGAGAGAACATAAAGGTTCTTGAGGGAATGCAATAATTTCTCAAGAGAACTCAAAACTTTTGCAAGCAAAAAAATAAATAAAAAATAGCATTGAAATTCAATTTTTCCATCCATCTCATATTTCTTCCATGTCCGCTTATTGGGGATCCATAGACGTCCATAACAAGTTTTATATAAAAATTCATGATATTTTTATTTCTCAGTGTTGAAACTCAAAATATAATAATGTTAATGAGAAATCAGTGAAGGTAAATGGGCACCGAGGTGGGAAAGATGTCTATATATCTCATGCGCTTTATTCCAAATCTTCTGAAGTATTAGCATATTCACAAATTGAGATTTGAGAGCTACAGTGGAGAGGAACGCCTCTTCATATCATTTCAGAATGCTTCAAATATTGCACAGAAGTCACATGGACTACATTTATAATTGTATAACCATGTGTTTTTATAGTTTTGTTGTCATTTTTGGAAATTGACATACATGGTCAACAAAAAATAGCAGTATGCAGGTTTGGAACATTATGAGGATTAGTAAATAATGGAGGCTTTATAAATGTTTAGAAGTGATGGGACTGGATACCGTGTCATACAGGATACAATAATGGCCAAAATTGATGTCTGACCTAGGAAAACAGACATTTTCCCTATTTTGTGATTTCAGTTGTGATTATTGGGCAATGAAACATGCTGAATTGTGCAGACTTTTTTTTTTTTTTTTGCCAAAGCTAACATACAAAACTTGCTCTTATTATTCCCAGCCTATATTTTAATCAATCACTATGGCAGTGTGTTAGCTATATTGAATGTGTCATTTCTAACATAATCCCAAACACTCTACATACAAAGTGAAGGCGTGCAGCGAGAGCGTTACTTAATCCCATTGAAACCCATTGGGAAATTTGTAGCTGATGAATGAATCTCAGCTTTGGGAGGAATTTAAGGAAGCTTTGCAAGAAATTATGCATGACACATGCACAGAGCCTACCGAGTGTAGAATCAAAAACAATGGTGAACCAATGAAATAATAACTGATTATACTGTAGTCAGTGTATGCTTTATTTCCTGCGAGTTATTTGTATTTCTAAGCATTTTTTTTGCATAGTTAAACAAAACCCATATTTCATGATAAGCTGTAGCTGTGTGTTTTCTTCTTCCCAATATGTAACATACTCCTCATATTATAATGGTTCAATCAAACTTGTAGGGTCGTTAAAAGCGAATAATGTGCCAATAATGGCTATTACTGTATGTGGAGGCTTGATGCTGCTCAGATTGTGACATGAGATCTTACCTTCTCGAGGAGAGATGGTGGGAAATCTGGTCTCGGAGAGCCTCACTGTTCTGCTGCTCATTCGGCCCTTGTAGACCTGTCCATCCAAACCTAAGATGTCCACCTCCGCTGCCTGAAGAAACACAGCTCACGGTTCATACATACTCACAGTTCACAGTGACATTTTCAAAGGATTCTGGGCCTGACCTGTGCGGGTGGTCCAGAGGACACGGGCCGACTGTCCTCTTCGTTCTGGATCAGGTGGGTGATGTGCTGAAGGCGGGTGTAGCGGCGGCTGGGGTAGGTGAGGGTGTGGCTGCCCCCACAGCTACGGGCCAGGTAACTGTAATCGGCCATTTCTGGGATCCTCTCGCTGCATAATAGGCCAGAAAACATCATTCAACACTCTTAAAAAGATTCCAAAATTTTTTTGCAGTGAACCTGTGGTTTTCCAAAGGACCTTTCAGTGAACAGTTCTTAAAAGAACCATTTTTTCTTAGAGTAAAGAACATTTTAATAATCCGAATAACCTTTATCCACTATAAAGAACCTTTAGTGCATTTGAAAGATTCCATGAATGTTAAAGATTCTTTATGGAACCATAGAAGCCAATAAAGAGCCTTTATTTTTAGTACATGTACCAGAGTTTTAAACTAATATAAAAAATATGAGTGCTAAATATCCGTGTCTCATTGACCAACTTATTTGTACTTCATCAGTAATCACCACTGGTCATGTGACCAGTATTTCATGGCTTAATTTCAATTTTATTTTACGCTGGGATTTAAAAAAAAAAAAAAGGGGGGACACCTGAATGTCATTTCATTAAATAACTAGAAAATAAATTCCTGATAAAAAGAAGTATACTTCAACTTCAGTTGATATGTTCCAAGTACGCTATGTAGTAAGCATACTAATATCAATGTGCTAGTAGTATATTTGTAAGTGTACTAATTCAATACGCTTGGGATAAAATTGTCCCACTTTTTAGTTTATAAAACTAATTTTACGTGTATAAGAAGTAAACATCGAGTACACATGTAGTATACTTACACGTTTTTCTTTTGTATTATAATTATACTACAAGTGAACTAGCTGCTTCTAGCCCACTTTTTAATTTATGAAAGTACATTTTAAAGTATGCTCTCAGTAAAATACCATTTTTAATAGTTTATTTGTGTACTGAAAGTATACTTTATAAGTTTTTAACATCATACCAATTGTATTAGTTTTGCAATTTAAGTATACTACTGGGTTTCTATTTAGGTAATCATTTTTATACTTTAAACAAACCTTTAAAATGTACATTAAGTACTTCAACTCCTATGCACACTAACAGTGGATTTACGGCAAAGATTTATGTATTAAATAAATTAACTTGCTCTTTCTGCTATTTGACTTGATATTTTGGGTTGAGATTCAAAATGATTTATTTTGGTATTTTCTCTAAGATGCTCCACGCTAAAACTGACTTGTTACTATAAACTACAATACTATAAATTTGAACATGTAAAGAATACTTAAATACGCATTTTTTAAGTATACCTTGATCAAAAGATTAAGAACATGAATAGTCCAGTCAGTATAAGCCAACTATACTTAAGCATAATTTTAAGTACATTTCTGATACATACATAAAAAGTAGACTGAAAGTATACACACTTTAAAAGAAGTATACTAAGAGTACACTTGAATACTTTCTGTGAAATGTTTTTCTAGGGAAGTGTGCTTGTGTGATTTTTTCTTTTAAAATAAATTCAACTTGTTTTGATATTTTGTTATATGTGACGCTGGAGCACAAAACCAGTCATAAAGGTCAATTTTTCGAAATTGAGATGTATACATCATCTGAAAGCTGAATAAATAATCTTTCCATTGATGTATGGTTTGTTAGGATCGGACCATATTTGGCCGAGATACAACTATTTGAAAATCTGGAATCTGAGGGTGCAAAAAAATCAAAATATTGAGAAAATCATCTTTAAAGTTGTCCAAATGAAGTTCTTAGCAATGCATATTACTAATCAAAAATTAAGTTTTGATATATTTACGGTAGGACATGTACTAAATATCTTCATGGAACATGATCTTTATTTAATATCCTAATGATTTTTGGCATAAAAGAAAAATTGATAATTTTGACCCATACAATGTATTGTTGGCTATTGCTACAAATATACCCCAGCGACTTAACACTGCTTTTGTGCTCCAGGGTCACTTATTACACAAAGACTTCATACATTTTTAGGTTTGTCCAAATACTTTCTGTTAGTTCCACAAATCCTGTCCTAAAATACAAAAAGTTGCATAGGAGGTTCATGTCAGGTATACTGTGTGAAGTAAGGTTTTGATTCCCCCTGCTGGTGAGTGTGATGTGTCTCACCTCCTGCAGTGCTGTCGCACCTGCTCCAGCTCATACACAGTGTAGGGCCGGCTGGACTTGTGAGAGGGCAGTCCTGGGGCAGAGGGCAGAGTCACCAAGTGCCTGGAAAAACATTCAGAGACTGTGAGAGACTTTACTATACTATAGTGTTTACAACCACAATGTAAGGATGTCTAATGATTACGACAAGGAGAATCTTTTTTAATAACTAGTTCTTAAAGGAACACTCCACTATTTTTGAAAATAGGCTCATTTTCCAACTCCCCTAGAGTTAAACAGTTGAGTTTTACCGTTTTTGAATCCATTCAGCCGATCTCCGGGTCTGGCGGTAGCACTTTTAGCTGTAGCTTAGCATAGATCATTGAATCTGATTAGACCGTTAGCATCTCGCTCAAAAAATGACCAAAGAGTTTCTATATTTTTCCTATTTAAAACTTGACTCTTCTGTAGTTACATCTTTGTACTAAGACCGACGCTTATGGATGGTCCTCCAGCGATCATCGAGCTGTTTCTTCAGAGGATCCAGCTCAATCCGGTTCAACTACAGTACACAACACACATAATCATAGTCCTTTTTATACATCAGTACATGATGGAAGTGCAGGGGGCTTGTGAGATTCTATACCGTAACAGAAATGGCAAATTAAATAAAATTTTTCTTTCTCAAAACATTAAGATTTTTTTTTTCACTATAACATTAGATTCAGGGAAATTAAGCACATTTCCCTGCAAATTCTCATTACCTGATAAATATTCTCATTAGAATTACGTGAAAAAGTATCATAATACAATACTTAACTCTATAAAATTGTTTTTGAGTTGTTGTATTTATGGAAAGTTTAGAACAATTCTATCAATGAGAAATTTAAAGGTAGGATAGGCGATTTCTGAGAGGCTAGCAATAGCAAACTAGCTTTGAACACATAAGATCCCACCCTTGCTGCAAATCACTCTCCAAAGCCACGCCTCCTCCAAAACACAGACAGAGCAGAGGCTAATCATGGCGTTGATGGAGGGTTGAATGCCTCATGTCTGCGAGACCAGGGTGCGTGGAGCTATGCAAATACATCCTCAGACTAGGGATATGATTGGATGAAACATTTTATGGTCCAACGCCTTCCACAGACGATATAAATACATTTAGAAAACTTAACTTAGTGATTGCTATCGGGATGTGACTTTTAGCCAGCATAACAAAAAATCTTTTTGAACCAAATCACCTACCCTGCCTTTAAGTCATATGTGACCCTGGACCACAAAACCAGTCTTAAGTGTCAATTTTTCGAAATTGAGATTTGTACATCATCTGAAAGATTGGATATTTGGTCGAGATACAACTATTTGAAAATCTGGAATCTGAGGGTGCAAAAAAATCTAAATATTGAGAAAATCATCTTTAAAGTTGTCCAAATGAAGTTCTTAGCAATGCATATTACTAATCAAAAATTAAGTTTTAATATATTTACAGTAGGAAATTTACAAAATATCTTCATGGAACATGATCTTTACTTAATATCCTAATGATTTTTGGCATAAAAGAAAAATCGATAAATTTGACCCATACAATGTATTTTTGGCTATTGCTACAAATATACCCCAGCGACTTAAAGGGGTCATATGATGCTTTTTTAAAGATCATTATTTTGTGTATTTGGTGTAACAGAATATGTTGACATGCTTTAATCTTCAAAAAACACATTATTTTATACTTTATACAAATACTGTACATTATTGTAGGTCCTCTATGCCCCGCCTCTCTCAAACGCTTCATTTTCTACAAAGTCCCTCCTTCCGACAAGCGCAGTCTGCTCTGATTGGCCAGCTGACCCAGTGCATTGTGATTGGCCGAACACCGCAAGCATTCGTCGGAAATGTAACGCCCCTTACCATAATCGCCAGCTTCATCTTTCAAAATAAATGTAAAGACAGAGCCTGAAAGGGGAACAGAGTTGCATGACAGACACAGTGATGAAGCTGGTATGTGTTTGCAGTACACAAGCCACGGTTAAGACCGCTGACTCCACTGTGATGTTACCCTCTCTCGCTCTCTCTCTCTCTCCCTCTCTCTCGCTCTCTCTCTCGCTCTCTCGCGCTCACTCACGCGCACACACACACGATGCGCAAAACTCCGCATTTGAACAGTCAATAGCAAATACTTAAACTAATAACAGAACAGTAGCTGATTCAGAAGCACCAGATTGTCATAGCAAAGTCAGAATAACCTCCTCTCCTATGTTCTCAAAACGGTCGTCCATAAAATGCATTGCTGTTCTGTTGTAAGTAATCTTAAAGATTCCTAAATGCATCTACTTTCGGAAGGCCAAATAAAGTGCTTTTGCTTTCGCCTAGAAACACACAGCGTCTCCCTGACATGCTGCTTCAACACTACCTGCGGTTACTGAAACCGCGCCTTCTTTCTTTGCGTGCACATTTGGGCGCATTATGCAAATATTTCCACATAGTGAGGTAGATATGTGGGGGCGTGTTAGAACGAGCCGTTTTAGGTAGGCGTGGCAGAGTCTTAACTTTGATAAAGAATATCTCTTTGGTTTTGAGACTTTAGTCTTTGCAACTTCAGGGATCTTATCTATGCACAATCAGCTTGTAACACGCCAAAGAGAAAGGAAAACTTGAAATCGCATCATATGACCCCTTTAAGACAGCTTTTGTGCTTCAGCGTCACATATGGGTTCATAAAGGTGGGAAAGTATGTTTACACCATGGAGATGTTAAATGAGCTTAAAGAAGAACTTCTTCTGTCCATCCGTCTCTCACCTTGCAGTCCATCTCAGAGGAGATCTTCTTGATGACCTTGTTCCAGTCCTGCTCCTGACCGCCGATCTTACTCAGCAGATCCTGTAACACGTTATTGAGCTGCTCTGTCATGCTGTCGAACTGCATGTGGCTCACCTTGCTCTCCAGAGCCCGTTTGTCAGCTTTCTTAGGAGCAAACAGATGAGATCCACTGACTGAGAGTGACTGCTATGGTCCGACGGGGCCAACAAAGAGTTCATGAACTTAAATTGTTTATGAACTGTATAAAGAAACAACTCACGATTTCAATCTCCATTTCCACCACTTCCTTGTCAGCTTTCTTTTCATCCAGGTCCACCACAATCTTGAACAGACGCTGGAAAAAACACAACTTAAGTTACAGGATGTAAATTGTGTCTTATTTTGCACATGAATTGCCAAAGATTTTGAGTTGAGTTAAGGGTGTGGGAATTATAACTACCTTTATTTAAGAACAACTTAAGTCAACCACCATGATGTGAAACATGGCATGTGAAAGTACATTTTACCATCTACAACAGCATCTTGCGTCCATTAAAATACTGTCTACAGTAGCTCACTACGGTTTGAAACAGAGCTAGGCTAATAAAGTTTTATTCCTAGCAAATGAGATAAATTGCTGACATTACATAAACACTTATTTTACTCAATATTTACTGAAAATCCAAACATTTCCAAAATATTTACTATTTCCCTTATGGAAAAGAAGTGTGCTTAACTGTGTAAGTGTAAGTGCACTTCGAATCTTAAAAGTATATATTTATACTTGCTAATGCAATAAAAGGCCACTTAAATGCACTTAAAGAAAGACACTTTCATGACATGATTCTTAAAAAGTACTTAATTATAACTGTTACTCGATATTACATCTAAAGTTACTATATTTTTAAATGTGCTAAATTGCAAATTCATTACAAATGTGTAATCACAAACATATTTAAATACAAAACATATACGTTGCAATAGTAATGTCATTAAAGTAGATTTTAGCTTCGCATAAATGCTTGTTAGTACATTCGGTAGTACACTTTAATCATATTTCAAAAACAACAGAAGCAATAATTAAATTACATGTAAAGATGTAGCCTACTTAAGTCCTACTTAAAACACTCTGGCCCAGTTTCACAGACGGGGCTTAACTTAACTTAAGATATTTAAGTTAACTTAAGATATTTAAGCAGCTTTTACAAAAATGCCTTAGAAGAAAACATTACAGGTGTGCATCTTGACACAATGGCACTGACATATTTTAAGATATGTCAGAGCAAGATATTTTCAGTTGAGATTTTGGTCTGGGACTAGCTTAAGCCTTGTCTGTGAAACTGGGGGTCTAAAATTGAGTTAACTGTATTTGATACAAATTTTATCTATAATACATGTTCATTTAATTGCAATGAGTGTCTGAAATAAGTGTCATAACTGATAAGTGTCTGTAATGTTTAAAAGTATGATAAAGTGTACTTATTTTTTTCACAAGGGTAATCATTTATATCAGTCACCCTCAATCTGAAACTGAATATACTGTAACTGCCCATGGAAGACAGCAGAATAGTTTCTCGATCAATCAACACATCGGTATTGATAAGCTGTGATCCTCTCACTCACTCCATGAGGCTGTCGGTTTACTCACATCTATGTGTGTCTGTTTCTTGCCGTGTTCCTCGGTCAGGTGGTTGGATGTTCTGTGGAGCTTCTCACACTTGGACTGCAGTTGCAGTATGGCTGCCTCTACTTCACTCACCAGATCAGTGTTCTGCAGCGAAACAATATCACACACACACACACACACACACACACACAAACACCCGGCACTGGTCGCTCAAGTCACCGGCATTAGTTTAGGGTGGGACTATCTGTCTGACTGACACAAATGACACACTTATAAGCACAATAGAAGTCTAGGTGAGGCTCTGTTAAATAATTACAGAAATT